AGTTCTCAGCATCTCCTCACTCTTCCAAGGTGATGCAGACTAAATTAGATTACCTGTTAGAATCTGCCTTGGCACCAGATACCTTTTCCTTCTAAAATGCATAATGATGTGTAATCTGTGTTAATAATTTGAATGTTGTCTCCTCCACTAACAAAGAAAACTTTAACTTTTTACCTCACCCCACAGTAAAAATACCTTTTATGTTTTGTGTGGTGCACTTTGATATTTTCTGGTTTATTTTATCCTATTGTAATTGTGGGCATAGAGAAAATGCTGACTGCAACTCACTAATGGTTCATGACTAGAATTTGAAATACGGTGTTCTGGAGTGTATAATCTGTAGTCTGTTTAGTTCTCATTGTGTCTGCTGCTTCTAGCCCAGGGTGAGTGCTCAATACATGTTTGCTTTTTGAATAAAAAATATAAGCTGGAAGCAGTGAAAAGGCATTGAAGGTCCTAACCAGGAGAGTTGTTCTATCAGATTTACTTAATGGATTTAAATCCCAAACCCTTCATTAGCTACAGTGTCCTTGGGCAAGTTAAATTTTTTTATTTTTTTATTTTTAATCTTTGGAAATGGGAACAATGGGTAATTTCCTTGCGGTCCAGTGGTTAGGACTTGGTGCTTTCACTGCCAGGGTCCCAGTTTCGATCCTTGATTGGGGAACTAAGATCTCGCAAGCTGAGTGACACAGCCAGAAAAAAACAAAATGAGAACAGTTATACTTATTTTGTAGAGAGGTTTATTATTTCTGTCCATGTTTACAGTGTCAGGTACTTGGGAGTCACCTTTCTTCATACCCCTCATGGCTTCTGTTTGTCTCCTCTTCCTGCCCTCAGCCACTGCCTTCTGGAGGCCTTGAAGTTAACTCATGACCATTCCAGAGAGGTTCCTTTTGCTCAGAGAATTCAATTCAGGCTTCTGTTTGGCCTGCATGATTGTCTTAAGCCCAGTTCAGCCCATCTTTCAAGATTTAGCCATACCTCTCTTGCCACTTGAACTCTCCTCATCCCTTTTTTCTGCCGTGGGAAGAATATTAGCATCTGTCTCCAGTATCTGCCCGTTGTTCTCTGCCAGGTGAACTACTATTCGTGATCCAACTCAGGTGTCATCAATGTGGTTAGCTTTCCAGGACTCTCTTCCCTTCCAAGGTATTCATTCAGTCTGTGAATATTTATTAAGCAGCTTTTTCATGTTAGACACTGGGACAGAGCATTTATGGAACCCTTTTTGAAGATCTGCTGAGGCAGGCACTGTGGATAATCTCTGGACAGGTACTTGCCTCAAAGCTGAGCTTACAGGCTGGTACCTCTCTGTTCTCTCTCCCTTTTCATCCTACCACTATTTCAGCATGTTGTCACAATGTGCTATAATTAATTGTGGCTTCCCTTAGCTCCCCTGGGCTTCCATGGTGGCTCAGATGGTGAAGAATATGCCTGCAGTGCAGAAGACTTGGGTTTGATCCCTGGGTCAGAAAGATCCTGGAGAAGGGAATGGGTTCCCACTCCAGTATTCTTGCCTGAGAATTCCATGGACAGAGGAACCTGGTGGGCTACAGTCCATGGGATCGCAGAGTTGTAGATGACTGAGTGACTAACACTTTCACACTTACCTCCCACAGACCTGGAGTGTAAGATCCCTGTCTTTATTAATCTTTACATTTTCAACCTTTGGCCTGTTCTTCTGTTGTTAGTTTTGGACTTCCAGAGTGATTCAGACTTAATCTTTCCCCAGGCTAGGGTTTCCAAACATGAAGAGGGGTGGGGGTGGGATGAGGTCCCAAAACATACATTGAGTGAAAAAAAGATATAACATTTGAAACTCACTGAAAATGGGAAAATGGGATGGTAAGCTCCTTGGGCTTGGAGGTGTACAATCAGTAACTCCTAGGTAGATGGAAAGTTGGCTAGTTGGTCCTACACTGCCAGGTGAGGTCTGGGGTCATTCATTGTTCTTCAATTCTCCCCAGCTTTTCCTACTCCTGCCAAGAGGGAGAAACCAAGGAGCTGTGGTCCTCAGGTCACCACCTCAAGTCCTGCCGAGCAGTTGTCTTCTCTGAAGATGGGCAGAGTGAGTAGTAGGGAATGCTGCCAGCAATGTGGTGGTGGGAAGGGAGCAATGAACAGTACCATGACCTGGGCGTTTCCTCCCCAGAACTTGTTACTGTCTCCAAGGACAAAGCCATCCATTTTCTAGATGTGGAGCTGGGCCGACTGGAAAGACGCATTTCCAAGGCTCACGGGTAAGGGGAAGCCAATTGTGTGTTGAGATAAAAGATAAGGATTGACTGGTACATCCCTACTGGGACCAAGGTGCTCCAGGAGTTTCTGTATCTATGTCTCTAGTGCCCCCATCAACAGTCTGCTGCTGGTGGACGAGAATGTTCTGGCCACTGGGGATGACACAGGTGGCATCCGCCTCTGGGACCAAAGGAAGGAGGGCCCCTTAATGGATATGCGGCAGCATGAGGAATACATTGCTGACATGGCTCTGGATCCCGCCAAGAAGCTGCTGCTGACAGCCAGGTACAGCTTCAAAGCTGTGTCCCACTCCTTTTCCTATATTACATGTCTCCCTCAGTGAGTACCTCCAGCCAAGCCTGCTACTTTGCTCTCTCTACAGCGGAGATGGCTGCCTCGGTGTCTTCAACATCAAGCGACGCCGGTTTGAGTTGCTCTCTGAGCCCCAATCTGGAGACCTCACCTCTGTCACACTTATGAAAGTACAGCTGGGTTGGGTGAGATGAGGGTGTGATAGGGACTTGATCTGATGTGGCTCCACAAACATGTTTTGCCCTGTTTCCCTGCAGTGTGGGAAGAAGGTGGCATGTGGCTCCAGTGAAGGTACCATCTACCTTTTCAACTGGGATGGCTTTGGGGCCACAAGTGACCGCTTTGCCTTGAGAGCTGAGTCCATCGACTGCATGGTTCCAGTGACGGAGAGTCTGCTGTGTACTGGCTCTACTGATGGAGTCATCAGGTGAGAGAAACCAGATGGCCCTCAAGTCATAGGAAGGGCAGACCTAACCAACCCAAACCCAACACTTTTCTTTCTGCCCAGGGCTGTCAACATCCTGCCGAACCGAGTGGTGGGCAGTGTGGGCCAGCATGCTGAGGAGCCTATAGAGAAGCTAGCTCTCTCCCACTGTGGCCGTTTCCTGGCCAGCAGTGGCCATGACCAGCGACTCAAGTTTTGGGACATGGCCCAGCTGCGGGCTGTGGTGGTGGAGGACTACCGCCGACGCAAGAAAAAGGGAGGACCGCTGCAGGCACTAAGCAGCAAGGCCTGGAGCACTGATGACTTCTTTGCAGGACTGAGGGATGAGGGAGAGGATGCCACGACTCTGGAGGAGGAGAGTGAGGATGACAGTGACTGAAGGGATGAGCTGAAACTCAGGATGGGTTCTCATTGGACAAAAGTCGTTTTCTGGGTTGGATCACTGGAGAGGCTGGGAGCTGAAAATATCCTATTGTGCAGCATGAGAAGATGCTCAGGATCAGCACATTGTGTGAGGAAGTACTGGCTTTGTGGCAGCTGCTCACTCTGCTAGTGTAAGACAAAGCCCACAGTTGGGGCAAGATAGCACGGACACAGGTATACACCAACCATGGGTTTAATATAAATACAACCAGCATAGAAGAATTCAAAACTACACATACACCAAAACCACAACACCAAGTGGTGGGGGCAAAGGCAGATGTTTGACTCTTTGGCTCCACCAGCCCTCAAATAAAAACTTCAACAAAGAAGACAAAACAAGAAAATAAGAAGCAAAGATTCATACTAAGCTGTGGGAGGAGGAGAGAGGGTGTGTGTGTGTGACACAGAACACCTTGGGGTCAGATGAGACCCCAGAATGGGAGAAGTTCCCTCACCACAACTTTGGCCAAACCTGAGCTGCCCCCAGGTGTTCTGGGGCCCTGCCCCAGCTGGGAGGCTGTTTCAGGTCTAGGGCAGGGCCCAGGCTCCTCCCCTTCTTGGGATCACATAGTGGCTGCCCAGGCCTGCTGGGCTGGGTGCTGACACAGGCTGCCTGTGGAGAGGATAAGGTCACTGCTGAACCGTGGTACCTCCTGCCTCAGCCCCAGTAGACCAAAGGAGGCTGGCCCTGGACTCATTCATTGCCTCCAGCAGCCGTGCAGATACTGCATCCTTAGCCACCTCATGCCCATCCTGCCCATCTGGGGTCAGCACAACCCAGATAAGGCCACTGAAGGGCACTGGATGCCCAGGGATCACCACCTGGTACCAGAAGCGGTGCCAGCCAGCAGGGCCTGTGCCCAAACACTTGGTGAGGAACACTGGGCTGCCCAGCTTCATCCGTTGGCACAGCAGCTGCAAGGCAACCTGAGACCCTTGGAACTCGAGCCCCTGGTCCCTGGCCAGGGCTAATTGGCTGCCCTCTGGCTGTAGGCACTGTAGTGAGGGACCCATGAGCTGCTGGCGGAGTCGCTGCTTCAGGTCTGGCTTAAGCCACTCCACAGCCACCTGTTCTCCACAGAGGTGGGACTGTCCTGCAGGAAAAAGGCAGAAACAGGGTAGGTCTAAGCCCCAGGCCCAAACTCCCAGACTCTCAAGTCCTTTGGAGTCACATCTTTTTAATCTGTTAGTTGGTCAGTCATGTCCAACTCTTTGTGACTCCATGGACTGTAGCCCACCAGGCTCGTCTGTCCACAGAATTCTCCAGTCAGATACTGGAGGGAATTGCCATTTCCTTCTCCAGGGAATCTTCCCAACACAGGAATTGAACCTGGGTCTCCTGCACTTCAGACAGATTCTTTACTGTCTGAGCCACCAGGGAAGCCCCTGGAGTCACATAAGCCTATTTAATTTCTAACCTCCCTATTTCCTGGTGGTGCTACCCAAGTGTGCATGTGTGTCTGGTTCTTTGCAACCCCATCGACTGCAGTCCAGCAGGCTCTTCTGTCCAAGGGATTTCCCAGGCAATACTGGAGTGGTAGTCATTTCCCCCTCCAGGGGATCTTGCTGAACCAGGGATCAAACTCCTGTCTTGTGTCTCCCGCATTGGCAGTTGGATTCTTTTACCACTGAGCCACCAGGGAAGCCTGTGACCCCAGGCAACTTAAGTTAAATAACTTCTCTAGGCTTCACTGTGACCTAATAAATGCTACCTTCTAAGTTCCCTTGGGGTATTAGTTGATGGCAGGCTTTGTCCACCTCATAACCATCACAATAGCTAAACTTTACCATGAATACTTGCCAAGAACTTGCCAAGAACAAGAGAATGTGCTAAAAGCTGTTTAATTATTCTCAGTCTCAGGAAGCTGGTTCTACAATATGTAAAAGGTAAGCTCAGTTGATTGCCTCTGGCAGGTCAATTTTTCTTAAACCAGTCTCCAATCTCAAGAGAGACAACGTTCTGTTTCATCACTACAGTGAGGAGGGTTAAGTCAGGAGATAATGCGTGGAAAGTGTTACATTTAGGTCATTGATAGCTGGTAGGACCAGTGGAAATATAAAAACGTGAGGTCAAATAGTCTGTCTCAAACTTGACCCTAAGCTTTCGCAGATTTAACCCGCTTTGCTGAACTATGCTGACCTGTAGAGGTAAAGTGCCCGGCATAGAAGTGTTTGCTCCCAACCAGCGGTCCCCGGCAGTCTCCAGTCCTACCTTCCACCAGGGCCTTTTTGGCCATAGCTGCGGCCCGGTGCGAGCTGAACTTGAGCAGTGCGATCTGTGCGGGCGTCGGCCCGGGGCTGGGCAGCAGCAGCGCCTCCTGCAGGCTAGGTCCCAGCGGCTGCAGCGCGCGGAGCAGCGCGCGGTGGCTCAGGTCCTGCGGCAGCCCGTCCACGCTCAGCTCGCACTTCTCGGTGCTGCGGCACACGAGCAGCGGGCAGGACGGCCGCAGCAGATGGTTATGCAGCGTGGCGATGGCGGCCTGGGCGCCGCGCCGCGAGCTGTAGCGGGCGTAAGCGAAGCCACGGTTCAGGCCGCTGAAGGTCATCATCAGACGAAACTCGTAGAGGCGGCCCACGCGCTGGAACAGTGGGATCAGCTGGTGCTCGTACACGTCCTGGGGCAGCCGCCCGATAAACACCTCCGACCCCGCTGGCGGCGGGCTGCCCACCCATCCTGGGAGAAGAGGGTGGGGAAGGGCACCGTCATCCAACCGGATAGATCTTGGGTCGGGGTCCAGGGACCGAGCGCCTGAGGGAGTATGGGTGCACACGTCTGCGAAAATGGGTAAAACACCCGTACTCCTCCGGGTCGCCGGCATAATCGAGTGACTGAATTACCAATGGGACTGGCACCTTAACACTAGACTTGCTCCCTTCCTCGAGGGGGCGGGTGGGTGGGAAGACACAGAGTACATATTTCATCTGCTGGGGGCGGGGGGCGTGTAACGGGTAGTTTGGGGTTTCTGACTAAACTCCGAGTGGAGCCCCGGGGCAGGCCCCTCCCTCCCCCGAACGCGGCGAGTCGGGGCCGTAGAGGCTGGCTTAGCCCCCTAGCAGGCAGACGGCTGGGACGACCTTACCTGGGGGTGGCCCGCCATACTTCCTCTGCCCGTTCACCTGCACCAGCCGGATGCCGGTTTCCCTGACCCACGCCTCCAACGCCGCCTTGTTTTCGGGATTCACCCTCTCACACCACAGCTGAGGGGAAAAGGGTGGGTTGTGGAATGGCGGACTGCCGCGTCCGTCCCCCGTCTCGCCAGTGATGCCCAGGGTTCATCAACCCTCTAGTATCCAACCACTTACCTCACATTCGCGTTTGGACTGCATGGCTTCCCAGCTGGCTTACTCGTACCCCCTTTATAACCTTCTCCCTATCTGCCTATCTGGAAGCTTCCCTACCCCACCACCCCCCAAGCTCTCATTGGCTCTGAGCACGACCCCGCCCACCAAGGGGGTGGGGTATCCGCCGAACTTGCGCCGCTCGAACCTCGCACCCGCAGGTGAAAGCTAGAGACCCTAGCAAGTGCGTCTGCAGACAGCTCCACCTCTTCAAAAATGGCTTGCAGACTGGCAGGATGGAGGCTACAATACAGATAAAAACGTCCGGGACACCCTCCACCCTGCAGAAGAGCCCATGGGGGCTACTGTTAAGTGTCTCTCCCCATTTTCTACCGCTGAAGTGGTTGCAGTGGGAGACCCAGACTGACGAGGAAGGCAGGGCTAGGCGGTAGTGACACAGGCAGGCTCCAGTGGTTGAGGCATTTTATTGGACCTTCCAAGGCTCGTTGTGGGGAACGTTCCCTCCACCCGGTTGTAGGGCTCTGCAGAAGAGACCATCTTGCGCCAGGTCCCTGTAGCCCAGGGACCTGTAGCCCCCAGAGCCATATGGAAAATGGTATAGTACCTGACCATTTTTGTCTGTGATTACAAATAAAATAATCATAATAAAAATAAAAAAGTCTCTGTTCTGACCACTTTTCAGGTCTTCCTGTTGGGACAGAAATGTGCAAAGCTGAAGTAGGTATGCAGAGTCTTATCTTAGCCTTAAATAGTGTCAGTCCCGCTTTCTTCTGATAGTTTGCTCAACTCAGCAGATGCAAAGGGGCTGGCTTGTTCTCCTTTTGATTTCCTCCACAAGGTCTTCTCTTCGGACGTCCACCTGGCCAGGAAGGAAGGACAAGGTGGTATGACCATCTTGTGTTCCACTGCTGAGCGCCCATGCCTTCCTCTAGTCATCAGGCCTGGCTCTGCTGGGAGCACGAACCCAATCAACAACGTCAGGGGAGACAGTGCTTCCTGGGGAAGCCAGAGAGACACAGGGTATGTGGGGATGGAGACCATAAGCATAGTATCATGCTACCCCCTTAAGACCTTTAGGGGGCTAATATGAATGCCAGACTTTTGCTCAGGTCTTGAGTGGGCTGCAGAGTCCAGAAACGGCATTCATTCCATGTCCCTCCCCCTTCCTGCCCACCTACTTACCTCTTCCCTGCTGGCCACTGAGCGCAGCTTGATGACCCCATCCTTGAGCTCTTGCTCACCAATGATGGCCACCAGTGGGATACCTGCCTCCTCACAGTACTGCAGCTGATTCAGTAACTTGGGGTTCTTTTTGTAGAGCAGTTCTGCCTGCAGGGACCAGGGAAGAAAAAAGGCTGGCTTCTGCAGTCCTCAGGGACAACCTTTTTGGGGCCCCTCGCTCTCATCTTCACCCCAAGAAATCATAGCAATGGCAGGGCCACTGTGGACAAGCTTTTATTTCATGTATGTCCAGCATTCCCAAATGTGCTGCCACCCGGGGGTTTGCCTCCTCTACCTTGATCCCAGCATCCCATAACTCTGAGACGAGCTTCAGTCTCTCTTCCAGCAGCTTCTTCTGTGCGGATGCCACAAGCACCTGTGTCTCTGTGGTCCGTACCTTCTCTTCCAAGGCCTAGAAAAGAGTTAAGAAAGAGCTGAGCTACCCTTTGTAACACCTTCAGTGAGCAAACAGAGCAGGCTCTTGTCAGTATTCTGAGAACAGGCCCCAACTCCATCAGGGCAGGCTAGTCTTTTCTCATGTAGCAATTGGGCAAAAAGTAGCTCTTAGAAGAATAAGAAATGAACTGAGTGGCTTGTGTATATGACTTGCTAGAATAAATAATGGAGGGTAAAGGTAGCTTTTAAAGGAAATGGCAACCCACTCCAGTATTCTTGCCTGGAGAATTTCATGGACTGTGGAGCCTGGTGGGCTACAGGCCATGGGATTGCAAAGAGTCAGACACAACTGAGTGACTGAGCACACACAAAGGTAGCTTATGTACAGTTTATAAACAAGCTTATCTCCATCTACTATCTTGTGGATCCATCATAAGGAAGTGATATTCTGCACTCACACAGGCAATCCAATCACCCCTAGCAGTTCTGATATTGACAATCAGGAGACTACCTCTTACACTAAAGCCACAGGAGGGGTGTGGATGGAGGGGAGAAAGAATGCTGCTGCTGCCTGTTTCTTTTTATGGAAAACTATTTCTATTCTTACAATATAAGCTGCCTGTTGGAACTTCAATTGGAAAACAGTGACCTCAAGAAAAGGATGGGAGCAGTGGGAAGGTTACTTAAGAACAGTAGCAACAGAAGTGGGCCTGAGGCCACGAAGGGCTTCCCTCACATTACTGTAGGTGCTGGGGAGTCAAGATAGCCATCTGAAGGATCCCAGAGCCTCAGATACATGCTTCCCACTTAGAGACAGTATCAGAGTCATTGGGAGCAAGACTGGAGTTAGACTGCCAGCATTCAAATTCTGACTGTGCCACTTAAACTTTGGCAAATTATTTGATCTATAATCTTCAGTTTCCTTGCCTGAAAAATGTAAATAATAAAAGTAGCTACCCTCTTGGGCTTCCCTCATAGCTGCTGGTAAAGAATCTGCCTGCAATGCAGGAGACCTGGGTTTGATTCCTGGGTTGGGAAGATCTCCTGGAGAAGGAAATGGCAACCCACTCCAGTATTCTTGCCTGGAGAATCCCATGGATAGAGAAGTCTGGGAGGCCACAGTCCATAGGGTCCCAAGAGTCAGACATGACTTCATGACTAAACTACTACTACTACCCTCAGAAGGCTGTTTAAGAAGTTTTTTAGACAGTGCATGAAAAGCACTAGGCACAGTGCCCAAGCACAGAGTAGTAAAATATTAAGTATTCTGTATTATGAGAAAGATCCAGGTCTTTAGATATATTGGCCTGGATTTCTGACAGCTCTGAGCAAAGTAGGGACCCAGAGCAAAGGATTTTGTGAAGAAAGAATGATTCAAGATCCATCAAGCTGGTCTGTATTAGGGTGAGGGTCTGAAGGACAGCAACTGTCTTCTCTCTTTCTTTGCAAAGATGTTCCTTGCCCAGTGCAGTACTACTTCCTCCTTAGAGATCAAAGAAGATAGCTCAGGTGCCACCAGCTGCCCAGAATTTCTTCCACCCAGCCCCAAGTCCTACCTCCAGCCTCTGCTCCACAATGGAAAAGATCCGCTCTACTCCAATGCTGAGCCCCACACAGGGCACCTTGCGCCCTTTGGGGTCAAACATGCCCACCAGCCCATCATAGCGCCCTCCAGCAGCCACGCTGCCCACACCCAGGGGTTCTTCCCCTGCTCGGGCTGGGGGCTGTAGCAGCACTGCCTCATAGATCACGCCGGTATAGTAGTCCAGTCCTCGAGCAAGGCTCAGGTCAAAGGAGATCTGGGGGGACAAGAACATGGTCAGTATCAGATGAGGATCAAGGGCTGGCCTCCAGCCCCGGAGCTCAGCTGAGACTCCCATCCCAACCTGACTCACCTTGTCAACAATGCCAAACAAAGTCAGATACTCAAATAGCAGCTTCAGGTCTCCCAGGCCCTCCAAGGCCTGCTTGTTCTGGGACAGTTTAGGATCCTGGAGCAGCTGTTCCACCAGGGATACTCCACCTGGGGAGACAGATCTGTGAGCCAGACTGACTGACAAGAAGAAAACGATAAATGTATGCATACACACACAAAAAGGAATTTCGGCTTTAGCGTGAGGGCAGTGGGATGGCTGCTTGGGAGGCAGGCTGTGTTTCTTACCATGCTGCTGGACGTAGTCCCCAATGCGGTCAGCCACCTCAGGTGCCAGGCCCTTCTCTCCTACCATCTCATTCTTTACTTCCTCCCAGGACACCTGGGCAGACAGATGTCCAGGGTCAGGGAACCCTGGACAGCTTCCCCAGGGCAGAGCAAGTATGACCCCTCTTTAGGGGGTGTCTTGAGCAGAAGCTGCCTGTCAATGTATATCCTGGAGCTAATCTTCCTCTGTGGGCATACAGGCAGGGCCCTCTCTCTCCTAATCTTTTCCATATCTCAGGGCAAGGTTGCACCTGGGAAAAGAACAGTCAAGTGTTTGGCGGTTACCTTGTCCAGCTTGTCCACTGAGGAGCAGATGGTGCGGAACTTGCTGTCTGGAACACCACAGACGGCAAACATTCCATCTAAGATGCGCCGATCATTCACCTACGGTGACCCAAGGCATAGTGATAAGGAATCTCTTTACATGACCCTTGATAGTGCTGGATGCTTAGGCTACTGTTTCCTCTGTACCAGAACCTTCTCCTGTGAGAGGCCAGGCCCAGCTTTGCCCCCCACAGCTCCACTCAGTTCTGACCTTGACCAGGAAGTCGCCGATCTGGAGTGAACTCAGGATCTCACACATGATCTTCAGGCACTCTGCATCAGGAATCATGGGGTCAAATTGCCCAGCAATGTCAAAATCCTGTAGGGAGAGGGGTAGTTAGAGGTCCTCAGGGGTTTAACCTTGAGGGAGGATCCTGGGAGCTCTGCTTTCCATGAAGGAGGCCTCACTGCACTCATGTGCAGGCCATGTTCTTCATTTTCTGTCTGACTGTCAGCCCAGAAGAAAACCCCAGCCTTCCTGGGTCTCTTACCAGGCCCTGGTTTTCTTCCCATTTATTGGGCTATTACTTTCAATATTTTTCCTTATTTCCTTCCACTGTTGTGGGGGGAGTTACCTGGCCTCCGTCATTTTCTCTCTTCATTTAGAAGCTCTGCCACCAGCCTGGATGACAGTACCTCAAATCCAATTTCCTCATCCTTTGCTGTCATCCTATCACTGTGGTTTAATATAAAGAGCACTGGACCAAGACTTCTAGTCCTAACTTTGCCCTTCTTATCCCTATAGTCTCTTCATCTTCCTGAGCCTCAAGTTTACTCATATGTAAAATGAGGAGAATAATCCCCGTCCTGTATGTGAAAATACTAAAGAAATCTTAGGGTTAGCATTATCTGGGGCATCTAGTTTGTTCAGGACACCATGAGTACTCAGTAGGTTCTACTAGCTCAAGGGAGTGCTGCCTTATCCAGCCTGCACCCATACTCACACATTGGTAGAATTCCCGATATCGGCCTCGGGTCATGGCTGGGTTATCCCGCCGATATACTTTTGCTATGTGGTAGCGTTTAATGTTGGTCAGTTTATTCATTGCCAAGTATCGAGCGAAAGGAACCTGATGACAAAGTTAAGGAGAATGGCCCACTTATCACAGTCTGGAAGTTGATGATCCTCACCAACAGAAGCTGGGGTCTAACCCCATGCTGTGTGGGTTAAAATCACCACCTGTAAGATTAACGACATTTCTGAACATCAGCAAGAATCAACTCTGTTACCACAGGGGCAGCTGAAGTCTCAAAAAATATTAAGGCTCTTTTCTTATGGGGCTGTGGTGAGCACAGCAGAGGGGTGGGCAGATTGGCCGGGGAGCAGAAAGGGGGCCCTATTCAGCGATGCCTAAGCAGATGATTCTCTGATATATCTTGGAGATAAAGGAAACAGACTTTTGGTCAATTAAGGAGAACGCCATCCATTAGACAGGACAAGGGAGACGTATTCTGAAGCCAGAGGATTGCTGCCAGAGTCAGAACTGGACCCTGACATAAAGCTGAGGTCTCACTCAGGATTTCAGAAGCCTTCTAAGGCTAGCTATGCTCTGTTTAGCCAAAGTTTGGTTCCTGCTTTAGAGAAAGAATTTCCCTGATTGCAAGATGCATTATATTTGATTCCACCTATGTCTAGCTGCCCTCAAACCTGAGGCTAGAAAAAGCTCCAGCCCAGTGAGGGCCAATCCATCCAAAGTTTAAAAAGATACAGTGAGGTCATATCGAAGAGACAGCAGCTCCCCACCCTGGTCCTTCAGGTCATAGATAAGCTTAGAGTCTTCTCCATACTTTCCAGTCAGTGTTTCCTGGAGAAAAAGAAATGTGATCACAAAGATAAATATAAAAATTTAAAAGGAAGTTTTAAAAACAAAACCCCCCATTCTAACAACGACTGATTTCAACTTACATTTCCTCTAAAATTCATATATTGAACCCCCAGTCACCTCAGATTAGGGCTCTATTGGGGGACAGGGTCTTTAAAGAAGTAGCTAAGCTAAAATGAGGTCATTAGGGTGAATCCTAATCCAATAAAACTCATGTCCTTATAAAAAGGAAATCTGGACACAGAGGAGGGAAGACAATATGAAGACACAGGGAAAAGACACCATCTAAAAGCCAAGGAGAGAGACCAGGAACAGATCCTTCCCTCGTGACCCTCAGAAGGAACCAACAGCTTATCTTGGACTTCCAGCTTCCTGGCAATACATTTCTGTTGTTTAAGCCACCTAGTCTATGGTATTTTGTTATGGCAGCACTTGCAAAACTAATCTAGTTGGTAGAAATAGAAATGAGTACAACCAATTGATGCAGAAATTCTATCTCTGGGAATTTATCCTGTAGATAAACGCCCACTATTACCAGACATTGTTCTAAGCCCTGTGTCTCCATCTATGAACAAAGGCAGTCCATGCCCTCTTGGATCTTCTGAAGTATTGACAAGAGACAGGCAGTACATTAATGCAAGGAAACAAATTAACAGATAATTTCTGATAGTGATAGCTGCTTTAATGGAAATAAAATAGGTTGATATGCTAGATAAGGGTTGCTTTAGAAAAGACATTGGAGAGGATTATTTGAGGCATTTAATTAAGGCATTTAATTATTTAATGGCATTTTAATTAAGATATGAAATGAAAATCTATCACGTCTAATTTACTCTGAAATTAAAGTCATGCAAAGAGCTAGGGAAAAAGGGAGCTCAGGAAGAGGGAAGAGCAAGAACAAAGGCCCTATGATAGACACATTTAGTATGTTCCAGGAACAGAAAAAAAACCATGGTAGCAAAGTGGGCAAGGGGAAGAATAGCATGAGATGAGAAGTGAAAGGTAGGCAGTTGCCACATCATGTAGGGCCTTGTAAGCCTGAGTAAAGAGCTTAGATTTTATTATAAATGTACTGGGAGCCAGTGGGTTTTAAGCAGGGAGTGATGCAAAGAACTGCTTTTTAATAGAACTAGAAACTACCTCAGGGTCCATCAATAGGCGACTTGGTTGCATATTTATCCTTTATATGTTTGATCTGCTTGTATTTAGGAAACATCTTGGGTACAGGTGACACAGAATTCAGGGTAGTCTGGAGGCATAACAGCTTCCACTCCTGAAAAGGGCTCTCTTTTGGAAGCTGCTGGCTGCAACCAAGGTAAATAAAAAGCAGGCCCTCTCCCTCTATGCCAGTCCTGTCCCCCTTCTCATGGAGAAAATACCAAGCTTTGTCTGCAATAAGAGAGAGGCCTTTGGGCCTCACTCCCTTGCCACCCTCTTTGTTGTTGGTATTCCCATTCTTCCACCACATAATTTCTGCTCATCCATCTCTCACCTTGAGTTCAAATACAGGTGTATCAATCACTTCTGCACCATGGCGCTTGAAGCAGCTGATGATTACATCAAACACCTTCTCCCGAACTGCCATCTGCCGGGGACTATAATCTCTTGTGCCCTTGGAGTGAAAATCAGCCAGAGAACCAAGGATGCAGTTTAAAGACAAAGAACAATACAGTCGAGAAATATACAAGTATGACTTCAATGATGATGAATGAAAACTCTGTCCCAAACTTAGATTTCCCTACAGGTCACCGAGTGGTAAAACAGGTGCAAACAATTCCCTATTAACTACCACACCCATTAGCTCTCACCTTTCTGAATTTTGACACTTTTTTTTTTTTTTTAAAACGCATCTTTTACTTTGGTTCTATCTTTCCGAATTCTTGGAACTCTGTTCTCTTAAGAAATTTTCCTAAACTAATTTTCTGGGATAACAAAACATTTCCTTGCCTAACAGAAAACATCTACCTGATGACAGGCATATAAGCAACTCAAACTGGCTTAACTCATTCTCTCCCAGCATACCTTAAAAAAAAAAATCCTAGTGAATACTATTTATCTTTAATTTGTTTCTGATAGCCCTATGACATGAACTGAGTAAATGAATTAGAACATGTTGAGAAGTTAAATCATTATTTAAGGCCACTCAGCAGGTTCATGGCAGTCAGTACCAGGACTCTGTTCTTTCAGGTCAGAACTTCTAGTTTGGGTTGTTATATGTTACTCACAAGTAGGACCTCTTTATATTCTTACTATTTACTAAGGACTCCAAAGTGGATTATTCCTATCAATATTTATCATGTTTGAAATGAAAACTGCAAACATTTAAAAATATTAATTCACTTAACAAAAAAGAAAATCCATTACATGTTAACAAAAATAACACTTTAGGAAAATGAAACTACTTTCCAAAACAAAGAGATTTGGTGAGAAGAGTGGCATTGATTTACATTTTTGCAAATCTTTAATGTCTGGATTAACAGAAGCCAGCTCTATTCTTATATATGCTTTCTGCATTCAATTCTGTGGTGATATGTTGTTCTGGTTGAGTATATAAAGAAAATCTAGCCTTACAGAGATGTATAATTGTAAAAGGAGGAATATTTTAATAAACTTTTCAGCTAACTTTAGATATTCCTAAACTACACCAAAATCTGATGAGGGAAAGCTTCTTAAGGATTGGTTACAATGTGGAATCTAAAACTACATCAATGAACTTTTATACACTGTCACATTAAAATCCATTAAAAGGAACACAGAATTCATAGAGACAGAAAGTAGAACACTGCTTACCAGGAACTGGAGGGAGGGTAGAATGGGGCATCACTACCCCATTTAATGGGTACAGAATTCTAGTTTGGTATGGTAAAAATTTTCTGGAGGATGAACAGCGGTGATAGTCATACAACAGTATGAATGTACTAAATGCCACTGAACTGTACACCTGAAAATGGCTGAAATGGCAAATTTGATGTTATCTATATTTTACTACAATTCAAAAGGATCTGTTACTCTATCTTGTACTTGGAATGGCTATTTTACCCAGGCATGATTTTATAACATCATGCATTGGTCATTTAGAAAATATTGGTTCTTTGATAACAGTTATACAGATCTTCCAAATGTTGATATGCTTCACTATACGATATCAGAAAACCATACTTGTTCATGTCATCATTGCTGCTACTGCTAAGTCACTTCAGTCGTGTCCGACTCTGTGCGACCCCATAGACAGCAGCCCATCAGGCTCCCCCATCCCTGGGATTCTCCAGACAAGAACACTGGAGTGGGTTGCCATTTCCTTCTCCAATGCATGAAAGTGAAAAATGAAAGTGAAGTCACTCAGTCGTGTCCGACTCTTAGCGACCCCATAGACTGCAGCCCACCAGGCTCCTCCGTCCATGGGATTTTCCAGGCGAGAGTACTGGAGTGGGGTGCCATTGCCTTCTCCGTCATGTCACCATAGATCTCATCAAAAAAGTTTTAAGTGTTGGGAAGCTGTCAGGCTCATGGTGGAAAATAACAAGTTCTAACTTTTTCTTGAACACTTGAATTTTATTTTACTGACAACACATACTGTTGAATGTTTCCCTTGAGGTGTCAAGGTGCACTTTATTCATTTTTGTTAAAAGATCTGCCAGATAGCCAAATCTTTAACACAATAGTTTATCTTTCAGTTTTTCTTTCAAATACAAAACATTTTCCATGAGAAAAGCAGCTAGTTCAGCTTATAATTCATACATGGCACCAAGTATTTTTTCTATTTTGGGATGCAGCAGAAGTGCTTTATGCGTGCTTCCCATTACATCATGTGGAGTGTTAAAAAAGTGTACTCAAGGGTCAATGATGAGTAAAATTAATAATTTTTACTGTTTTATCACGGACATTCTTAAGTAAAACTGAATTTTTTTTCCCCTGTGAGTTTTTGAAAGTAAAGAACATAAACTGACTATTAGTACAGCTCCATGCCAGCATCTTGATTTGTGCTAAGACATCAGCAGTTCTACACATCAGTGCTTTTGCACCTTCATTGCAAATGAAATGAAAAGGGCATGTAACATTATGAAAGTAATTTTGACCAGGAAGGTCCCTTAAAAGAGTCCTTTCCCTGTAATATTGAGTTTTTGTTAACTATGAATCATACATCAAGAAATTATTTCAACAAACTGGAGTGGATATTAACTCTTCACTATATTCACATTTTCTTTTAACATTATGGAAATTTTCAAACACACATTATAGAGAATAGTACACGGAACCACCAGGTATCTACTATCTCGCTTAAACAACTATCAACATCTGCTATTTTTTAACTAAGCCCCAACATTTTTTTCCTGCAGTATTTTAAATTAAATCCTAGATATCATACACTTTCATCCACAAATATTTCAGTATGATTCTCTAACATACAAAGATTAAAAAACAAAATACTGTAATACCTTTCTTACAACCAACACAACTTAAGATCAGCCGCTTAACAGCAACCCTTTAGATAGTGCCCAAACCATGTTTATTACTCCCAATTGTTGCAGTCATATCTTTTTATGCTTGGCTTGTCTGAATCAGATTCTAAATAACTTCATGTCTTGTACTGGGATGATGTGTCTCATGACTATTTAATCTGCAACAAATTCCTTTTTTTTTTTTTTTTTAATTGTCCTTTCTTCTTGAGGAAATTGAGTCATTTTTCTGAAAGAATTTCTCTCATTCTAGATTTGGTTAACAGTATACTCAATGTGGTCATTTAACCTGTGTTCCTCCATTTCCCATATTTCCGGGAAACTGGTAGTTAGATCTGAAGACTGATTAGATTCAGGTTCAGTTGTTCTTGGCAAGAACACTTCATAGGTGGTGCTGTGTACTTCTTATTGCATCACATCTGGTGGAATATAATATCTGGCCGTCCTACTTTTAGCGATGCTAAGATTGATCATTGGGTTTAGGTGAAGCCAGCCTGATCTATCAATAAATCCCCATTAATCTTTTCACTCAATAGTTTGAATAGCTATTGATGGTTACTGCCTTGGGATTTTACACTGCCTTTTTAATGTTTGAAATGAGTTACATGTAGAAAAGAATAGCTCAATGATTTTAGGAGCCCAAAGAATTACTCTTAAAAGATGACATCTCAACATAAGGAAGACAAATCATCTCCTACTGTGGAAGTAAATTTCACATATATTCATTGAATACCTATTTAGTCCCAGGCACCTAGTCTCAGCCTCCCAGGTTAAATCAACCATGTGAATAATGAAAAGTCAGCAATAAATGCAATAACAGAGTATTTATGAAGTGCCAAGGGTACCTAGATGATGGGTAAGTAGTCCAGTTTATAGAACTCACAGAAAGTGTCACCTGAACTGAAATCATGGAGGCTGAGCTAGCAACCTCATTCCACTCTACTGTCCCTCTCTATTTGATTCCAGACATAAAGTCTTTTTCTAGTTCTTAGATAATACCAAGATTCTTTCTTGCTTCAGGATTTCCCTACCTGGACCTATCTTCCTCACATTCTTCACCTGGCTGTCTCCCACTCATCTACAGATCAACTAGTCTATTATTTCCTCAGACTCTGCAGTTCTCCCTTATTTTTCTCAGAGCATCCTTTCTATTTCTTTACATAACTTAACACAACTTGTATTATATATCCATGTGTGGGATTATTTTTCTTCCCAAGTCTGTTTCCATTGTAGGATGTAAGCTCTGTGTGTGTGTGTGTGTGTCTGTGTTTAGTCATTAAGTCGTGTGCAACTCTTGCGAACCCATGGGCTGTAGCCCACCAGGTTCCTCTGTCCATGGGATTTCCAAGGCAAAAATACTGGAGTGGGTTGCCATTTCCTTCTCCAGGATATCTTCCCCACCCAGGGATCGAACCCGTGTCTCCTGCATTGCAGATGAATTCTTTTATCACTGATCCACCAGGGAAGCCCAAGCTCTCTGAGGGAAGGCTATGTTGTTCACCATGGTACACTCACTGCTTTGGACACTGCTAGGAACACAGTAAGCACTCAGTAATATTTACTGAGTGAAAGGAGGAGTAGACTCCCCCGAGCACCCAGCTGGCCTACTTTCTTCCATCATTTTGCCATCCCAGAATGACTCAGATAGAGTCCAGTCCAGCCTGGCGCCAAGAGCAACTGCTGTATCCTATGCAGCATTTCAGATCCTCCTCAGTGATCTGGTTCAGGTAGGCAGGCATATGCGTCCTTGTGAGTGGAATTAGGGACCCTCTAGGAGGCTCCCTAAAGGAATGATATTTACCTTGGGGGTTTTGAGCACAAACTTAGGTTTTCCTTCATCAGGGCCCAGCTGTGCCTTCAGTTTCAGTAGTTTTGCCACCTCCTCTTCGATCTGTGGAGGGAAAGTCGGCGCTGGACTACCGCATCTGCCACTCCCTCCCGCTCCAGCCATTCATTCAGTATCCCCCCCCCATCAGTACATGGGCCATATCTCTCTCCTAGCTTTGCTTCCCCCAAATCCTACACCAACTACCTCCCCACTCAGCCCGTTCTGCTTTTACCAGTCCAGTCCCTTCTTCCAGATCCCTATCCTCTGAGCAGACCACCCCCGCTCTGTCCTCGCTGGCCTTGTTTTGTCCTCTCTCCTGCCGCCTGGGTCGTACCTGCTCGGCGCTGGCCTTCTGCTGCTTAAGGCCCCGCACACGCTCTCCCTGAACTCGCACCAGATCCTCCAGAGCCGCACGATCGGCCATACTGGCTGCCGACTGGAGCTGACTGCTGGCTAGATAGGCTGCGGTGGCCACAGCCTCGACTCGGAGGACTTCCGGATATCGAGTAGTTGGCCCATATGCCTAGAGAGCCACCGCCCAATAAAAAGATCACTTCCGGCTCCTATCGGATGTGCGGAGGCCGGACGGGAGCCGGAGAGCAGTGGAGCGGCTGTGTTAGGTTTGAGAGGTGTAGAAGCACTCATCTCATCTTTAGTTCTTGGCTTCGCCTCCACAGCGTCCTGTAACCTTTCCTGGGGTCGTGTCTGCCTCATTCTTAGGTCCTTTGCCTCTTGTTCCGGAAATCCTGCTTTCTGCCGCAAGATGCCCCAGCTTGGACTCCTACATTGGAGAGCCTGGACTGTGTTGCTTGGCCAGCTCCGGCGGCCGCCCGGTGCTGTGTGCATCAGGGCAGTCCGTTCTCACAGTCAGGTGAGCCAGACAGATATCTCTGGTCTGTCGGGGCAGGATCTCCAGGTCTGAAAGCATGGACTCTCAGCCTGTACTCCCGCCGTATTACATCTAGTGCCCTAGATGTATCGACACAGAGCTAAGGCCTTTTAGGATGCTTTATGATTTAATCATCAAAGCAATCTTGAGAGCTTGGGGTTATATTTCCATTTTATAGTTGAGGAAGCGGAGGCTGCAAGGTTAAATGACTTACGTATGGCTACGTACTAAGGGAGAATTTTAGTACAGGTCCACTAGCCCTTATCTGAACCTTTTGGGGTCAAACACATTAAAAAAAAATTCAAGCAACGAATGTGAACATTCCCACTAACGACCATAAGTAGAGTGAGTTCACGTTAGAATTTACCTCAAAATGAATCCCCCTCATCCCAGTTTGTAGTTTTCAGAGATTATGGATTCTTAGGAGGGGCTGTGGGCTTGGAGAACTGAATCCTCCAAAGCATGAACTACACCCTCTGTATTTCTGGAAGGGTGTACAGTCTGCTGGTAATAAAATCACAGATTCTGTTTTACCTTGGGAAAGACGCTGTTGACTTCCTCGTAGATGCTTTGTGTTATCATGACCAACAGGGTGCATATCTTTTGTTATTTGCAGTCACAGCATCCTACTAATCTTTTTTTTTTTTTTTTAATCCATTCCTGTTTGTTCCACAGGCATTGTTTTCTGTTCTTGAAGGAAAGAGAATGGGCTGTACTTGGGCTGGTTCTCTTCGTCGTCAAGTTAATTTTTTCCCTATCTCTAAGCCTAATGACCATTGCTATCTTATTCACAATTTTTATTTTTTGCTCTTTGAGTGGAAACAGAACTAGAGATCATATTAGTCCCTATTCCTAGATGGTCAGTTGTGGTAGTCTTGGGTTTCTTTGTGCCTTCATTGTTTTTGGGTGGTTAAACTTTTCCATATATTTGAAAACTCCGAATTTGGTGAGGAAGCTTGTATGGTAAACACCTGATCTTATATGTATTGCATATACAGCTGGGTTTTTGGAAGTGCGCTGAGATTAGGATAGATAGCGTAGTGTTCAGAGTTCCTATTGCTCAGGGCCAAAAATATTTGCAGGTTGGTGGTGCACAGGGCCAGAGACACCACAATCCTTGCCAGTATGTGGCTGTGCTAGGTCTTAGTTGAAGCATGCAAGATCTTTTAGTTGTGGCATGGGAACTCCCAGTTGCAGTATGTGGGATCCAGGGGACCAGGGATCAAACCCAGCCCCCCTTGCATTGGGAGTGTGGAGCCTTAGCTGCTGGATCACCAAGGAAGTTCCTCTGGCCAGAATGAGAGGATCTGTATCTCACTTTTTTTCTGCCAGGTTGCAGAGGCACTGTTTGCATCCCAACTGAAACCTGATCAAGAGAAGTCAAATTTTATTATCAAGACCCCAAAGGTAATACCCTGTATCTCACCCTGTCCATTAGAGTGCCTTGGAATTCTGCCCTCTGCTTCCCTTCCCAACCACTTTTAATGTTTTCATTTGTTTTGACCATACTCTGTGTCTTACAGTGCAGGATCTTTGTTCCCTGACCAGGGATTGAACCCATATCCTAAACACAGAGTCCTAACCACTGGACCCCCAGGGAATTCCCTACTTTTAACGTTTTTTTAAACTAATTTTTAAAAAGTCTTTACTATTCTGGAGGTACTGGGTGGGGCTCATAGTCATCTGAACCCAAAGTGATTTCAACTCCAGACCTTAGATTGTAGATATAGGTTAACTCTTTGTCTTAAATGGACTTGGTTTTGTTTTCACTCTGGCTCCTTTTGATTTCTAGGGTACCAGAGATCTTAGTCCCCAGCAGATGGTAGTGAGGGAGAAAATTCTTGATGTGGTTGTTAGCTGCTTTAAACGTCATGGAGCAAAGGGGTTGGATACCCCGGCATTTGAACTAAAGGTAAGAGGAGAAAAAAGTGCAGGAACCCCATTTCTTCACCTGCCTTATTTCCCAAGGGGCTTCTAGCCTATGTTCTGGAGTTTTCCTTTTAACATGGCACTTGTGTTTGGCTTCTGTAGGAGGTGCTCACTGAGAAGTATGGAGAGGACTGTGGGCTCATCTATGACCTGCAGGATCAGGGCGGAGAGCTGCTGTCGTTGCGCTATGACCTTACTGTATCCTGAGTTCTGGAGGACTTCCCTCTCTCCAAACCCAGAGGGCATCTCTGACTAACCGGAAAAGAGTGGTTTGGGGACCCTATAGTCTTGTTGGCGGCAGTCTTTACTTCTGGTTTCTTCCAGAAGGCAGTTCTGCCAGCACAGCCTGTCCTAGTGCATTGTCATTTAAGTCTATAGTGTGTTAGGTGACCTTCCCTGGTGGTTCAGTGGTAAGACTCATGCAGAGGGTGCACGTTCGATCCCTGGTTGGGGAACTGAGATTCCCCCATGCCATGCAGCGTGGCCCCCTCCCCCCCCCCAAAAAAAATTTGTATGTCAGCATCCCTGGAAGAAGCTTGCCGAAATGCAAATTCTTGGCCTCTAGCCCCTGATGTTCTCAATTCTGTAGCTGGAGTGGGAGTTAGCAATCTGCATTTTAAACAGACACTTGGGAATTAGGATGTAGGTGGTCCTTGAGCGTTTGAAGAAAAGTTGACTTAGAAATTGTAGACAAATCCAGGTTCTGAAGCTTGACTCTTCTAAGACAGTTAAGAATTGATCTGAGTGGGAGGGAATGCCCAGACTTGAAGTTCTTGAGTCATTTCTATCTCTATTTCCACTGCTTTTTACAGAACTTGTAGTCTTGCTATCAGGGATTCCTTCATTTGACACTATTTAACATATATTGATTGCTAAGCCATGGGTATAGAGAAAGGAGACAAAGAAGGTCCTTGTTCTAATTCTAGTGGATGAGATTTGATTGATAGAGCCCCAGTCCTTCCTAATGCCTTTCCACTGGGCCTAAACTTTGGATGCAGTATCCTTCTTCTTTAACCTATTTATGTGAGGTCCCTTTTGCTCGTTATCTGGCAATGAATAAAGTGAAGAAGATGAAACGCTATCATGTTGGAAAAGTATGGCGGCGGGAGAGCCCAACCATAGTCCAAGGCCGCTACCGGGAGTTCTACCAGTGTGTAAGAAACCTGATGGAGGCAGCATGGTTTGATAGTTCTGGGGGCCACGACCAGGTAACTGGCTGCTCAGTAACTTTTTTCCCATCTTTTTCTTTGCTGCAGGATTTTGACATTGCTGGTCAATTTGACCCTATGATCCCTGATGCAGAATGTTTGAAGATCATGTGTGAAATCCTTAGTGGATTGCAGCTGGGGGATTTTCTCATTAAGGTGAGGCCAGAGCTGAGGACTGAGGGGCAAAGTCTGGATTTGGCCTAATGCTGTCTCAAAACTGTCTCAAGACATAGGTGACACCAGCCATTGAGCCTGTAGCTCTAGGATTTTCTTTGTACAGGTGTTGCATTTCATATCTATATCTATATAATCATTCTGTGAAACTTCTGTCCCTTTTATGAGTCAGGAGAGTTGGGACTGCCATTGTTTTGATGGAGAGGTCATTGACAAGGCATTTGGGTTGCTTCCATTGAGTTCATAGGTCAATGACCGGCGGATTTTGGATGGAATATTTACTGTCTGTGGTGTTCCTGAAAGCAAGTTCCATGCCATCTGCTCCTCAGTAGACAAACTAGACAAGGTAATGAAAAAGACACGCTTCAGTAGACCCTGCCTTCAAACCTATACCCTTAGAGGAGATGGTGGCCAGAAGTGAGTTATTTCTGGGAGGAATGTAAGGAGACATTCTGAAACAAGACCTGAATTTTTCTGTGCAGTGGAGATTATGGCTAGATTTCCTAAACTGCCTCTAACTGTGCTGAATATAGTGTTAGCTACTCGTGACATACCTAATGAATGAAACAAGATATCCTTTCCCATTTAGAGAAAGAGGGATCTTGGGGCTAGCCTAATGTTTGGATGTTTGTGCAGATGTCTTGGAAAGATGTGAGACATGAGATGGTGGTAAAGAAAGGCCTGGCTCCTGAAGTGGCTGATCGAATTGGGGATTATGTCCAATGTCATGGTAAGAACCAGTGTTTTTATTTTAGAGGTACGTGATAGAACCAGAGTAAGGGTGATCCGTGTATAACTTCTACCGCGGAAACAGCTCCTTTCCATAAGTGTGCTAAGTTCCAGAGCCTGGTTTGAATTTAATAACCTTTTTACTTACTGTAATCAGTTATGTCTTCAGGTATCAAAGATGGAGGTAGAAGAGGGAAATCTGGTTGGATATGATCAGGATTTTTCTTTTTTTTTAAAGAAAATGAGGAGGACTAGTTGAAGCACATTAGGGTTAAATTTGAATGAAACACATCTGGGTGTATAACACAGACCTTATTTCTCCCCACATGTCTCCCCAGGTGGGATATCCTTGGTGGAGCAAATGTTCCAGGATCCCGTACTATCCCAGAACAAGCAGGCCCTAGAGGGCTTGGGAGACCTGAAGCTGCTATTTGAATACCTGACTTTATTTGGAGTTGCTGAGAAGGTTAGCTGAATAGGGAGTTGACCTCTTGCTGTGTCTAGGGCTCTGAGCGTCCTGAGTCTTGTGTGACACTGACTATAACTTTGTCTCCACAGGTCTCCTTTGACCTGAGCTTGGCTCGAGGCCTGGACTACTATACAGGAGTGATCTATGAAGCAGTGCTGCTACAGACCCCAGTGCATGCTGAGGAGGAGCCACTGAATGTGGGCAGTGTGGCTGCTGGTGGTCGCTATGATGGGCTGGTGGGCATGTTTGACCCCAGAGGCCACAAGGTGCCATGTGTGGGGCTCAGCATTGGGGTAGAGCGAATCTTCTCCATTGTGGAGCAGAGGATGAAGGTAGGTCCTTGGTAGGGTTAGAGTGGGGCTGCACGCGTTAAAAACTCATGTTTCTGGAGGTGCAGTTGGACTGTTTTTTGATGATTGTTTTTGTTTTTTTGAAATATTAGTGCAAAAGAAGTTGTTATTATTTACTTTCCTCTCTCTCTTTTACTAGATTTTTGGTGAGAAGATACGGACTACAGAGACCCAAGTGTTTGTGGCCACACCACAGAAGAACTTTCTTCAAGAACGGTTGAAGCTAATTGCAGAGCTTTGGGATGCTGGGATCAAGGTATAAAGGAGCTAAAATCCACACCATCTAGGTATATATAGAATTCATGCACCAGGCCCACTTCTAGCTTATACCTAGGGTGGAACTCAAGACCTTTCTAGTCTTCTCTGGAGTATCTTCTTAAGTACAAGTAGGCTAGGTACTTTTTAGATACGTTTGCTCCTGGGATTTCAGTGGTATGCTTAACTTCTAAATCCCCTATTCTTACTTCACCCTTTTCAGGCAGAGCTGATGTATAAGAACAACCCTAAACTACTACCCCAACTGCACTACTGTGAGAACATGGGCATTCCACTGGTGGTCATTATTGGTGAGCAAGAACTGAAGGAAGGGGTCATCAAGCTCCGTTCAGTGGCCAGCAGGGAGGAGGTGAGTCAGGCCAGCCAGAAATAGAAGGGACCAGGTGTTTCTACCTTTCTTAGATTCTTTGAGAAATACATATATTTTAGCTGTGGAAGTATCTCCAGGGTTAATAGTGATAGAAGTGAATGAGATTCCATCCTGGGCAACCATTATAGCTGATGATTGGATGGATGGGCAAAAGGACAAGTGAAATCTCCATGGGTATTTTAAGATTAATCAACAAAACAGACATAGATTAGGTGTTTGAAACACTTTAGTCTTGAGGGGATACACTCTCCAGGTCAGGCTGAAGCACCTACTCCTCCCTACTGGTTGCCCAAGTAGTGGGAGCAGTTGCAGAGGTAAATGAATCCAGAAAATGAGAGGCTAAGAAGCTAGTATCACTCTCTAGTTTGTCACATGAGGGTTCTCTTATGTTTCAGGTGGCCATTAAACGGGAAAATCTAGTGGCTGAAATTCAGAAACGACTGTCTTGAGTCTTGATCATTACCTGAATGCCATATGCTGCTCTTTGTAGAAAAGGTTTCACCTAGGACTGACTTCCTAAAGGACTTCACACCTGCCGGCCAGAATGGGTGACAAGTGTTTCTGGATCCTTATCCTTTCTGTGTACAGAACTGTAGAATGCCCTGAGGACTCCTAGGCTAATGTGAGCAGCTGTGCTGCATGGGCACACATGATGGCTGGTATGTGGAAGAGATATGCCCTAACTGCCAAGGCAAATGGCGGGTTTGAAATGCCATTGAACGCTACCAACAATGTGCTGAGATGGTTGCTGTCAGCAAGTCTCTGGGAAAGTCACCTCAGGTTGAGAGGATTCTGAACCTTTGAGATAAAAAATCATATATTTAGCCTTCTACTATGGCTTCTCGAAAGTTTGTCCAAAATCTAGTCATGGGCTGTCCAGGGAGTTTTGGGGAGACAGCAAGGAGGGGAAATGACTGCTTCCTGTTCTGTTTGAGAACAGAGGTGCTATCCTAAGGGCATTGCACTGCCCATATTAATGTGGCATCTCTTTGGCTCATTCACTGTTAATAATAATAGGGTGAGCCTGTTTGTTTAATAATCTTGAACGTTGAACTTAATAGGTGACCTGACAAGATGGAGATATGATTGGAGCTCATTACCTGTGCCGTAATCACTTCTCTGACTTTCATATCCTGCCATGGAGGTGGCTGTTCTTGAAGTGGTTGTATAATATATTAAATAAAATTTAAATGGAGTAGTTTGAGTAATTTGTTATCAAGGGGTTGGTTTGCATAGGCCATAGAAAACGCTTGAGTGTACACTGGAGGATTCTGTGAGCTAGGAGTAATCTCCCTGGGGTGATGCTTCTGTATTGAGTGAAGGGAGTGGCCACAGTTCCCCCTCCCCCCAATTTAGAGAGAATCACACCACTGAATCAGTGTATAGTGAGACATCTGCTAGAGTTCTTCACGGGAGTGTTGCTGATACCCACCTTCCCAAGTGCGATCATGTTGTTTAAACTGTGCCCTATGGATTGAATGACCCTAATGTTCTCAGCTGGAGGAAAAATGAGTGAACCAAAGGGTCCCCTGGTGGCTCAGATGGTAAAGCATCTGCCTACAATGCGGGAGACCCGGGTTCGATCCCTTGGTCGGGAAGATCCCCCGGAGAAGGAAATAGCAACCCACTCCAGGACTCTTGCCTGGGAAATCCCATGGAAGGAGGATCCTGGTAGGCCCCAGTTCATGGGGTCACAAAGAGTCGGACATGACTGAGCGACTTCACTTTAACTTTCACTTTTCAAAGGGTGCTAGCATTGCTTCAAGATAGAGACAAACTGCAAAAAGCGCTTTGTATATGTGCGTTGGGAAGGCTGCAACCTTTACAAACAGTTCAGTGCTCTGAGGCTGTATCTTTAGTGCTTGCGGTGAAGCACTAACGTGAAGCATTTGAGACCCTATAACAGCGCTTCAGCCTTAAAGGTTTGGAAACTCCTGGAATACACGCAAGTTTATTAGACTAGATGAGAGAGCACTGATCTGAATCTTATTTTCCTCTTGTTAATACGAGTTGAATCTGCCTGTTTTGAAAGCCAGGGCAAAAACGTTTCCAGGCACCCTTACTTCCGTGTTGCTTCATACTTTCCTTGCGCATGCGCTACTTCCTCGGCGCGGAGGCGGGGCTGACAAGCCTATTTTCGAAGCTCTCCAGTTCTTAGCTCGTTTGGAACACGAGCGTTTTAGCTGATTGGAGGCAAGCTTGCTTTACGGCTCAAGGCCGCTTTTTACGGCATTTTCCGGCTTCCCATTCACTTCGCAGTGAAGATGGCGTCAGGCAGTGGGGTAGGTGTTGTGTGAGGAGGCTTGGAGTCGGGGGAAGGGGGTGGTTTCTCGGCGCTGGATATTCCACACCCAATTGGCTTTCCGACACCTCTTCGCAACATAATGACTCCGGTTCAAGAGCTCCCCAGTGAGGCTTTCGTGCAGGGTCTGAGGAATCGGGGAGGGCTCGGATTGGGGGTCCTGAGGTAACCTTAGCCTCCTAGTGGTGTCCGGAGAGGCTTCGCTCTCTTCAAGTCCCGGGCCGCCTTGGCAGCGTGGACGCGGTTTCTTCAGTTTTTCCAGGAGTTGGACACGATGAGCGGCGAGTCTTAAGCGCATTTTTCTTCCCCCAGACAAAAAACTTGGACTTTCGCCGAAAGTGGGACAAAGATGAATATGAGAAGCTCGCCGAGAAGAGGCTCACGGAAGAGAGAGAAAAGAAGGATGGTGGGTACTTGCTCCATCAAGTGCTAACTATTGTAGAGGCGATGCAGTGGTTGTAGAGTGGGTGGGGAGTTGAAATGCGCTGTCCTCCATACTTTTGTAATATCTGGCAGAGTATTGCCTCCCTGGTTCTCGATTTCTTCAGGTATAAGGTGAAAGCGAGGAGATGGACTGAAGTGCTTTTGAGGTGCTTTCCAGCTCTGTGATTCTCGGCTTCCTTGCTCTGCCCTTGCTTGGCTCATTTAGTACTTTCCTCAGGTACAGAGAAGAGAGTGGAATCCTTAGTAGTGACAGGAGGAGGAGTATTTCGCTGCTGTGTGTTACTACTATTGAAGAGCCTCTTTTTCTCCCAGCAGGAAACATGGTATTTAACCTAGCGTCTAGCACTGTTCTCTGTGCGATAGACAGTGTCAGGGATTTGGTGCTCCTCTTCTAGAGATTCCACTCTGTAGAAAGAAATATCTTATTTTCTCGTATTGTTTTCAAACAGTACATTCTTCTGCTTTCTTCCACACCAGATTACATACTCTAAATCTTTTAGTTTTTATGTTACTTGTATAGTAGTACTTGGCATGCAACAGCTTATTTCCTAAATATTGGTCGCCCTTTTAAGAGTGGTCTTGCTGTTCTTTTAAAAGTTTGCTTTTTGGGAAAATTCAGAACTCTTGCCTTCAGTTCAGTTAATTAATGAATAAAAAAATTGGTTTTAGATTCGTTGGCTTTAAAGTGGAGAAAAGATGTATAGAGTTAAGAATTGCTTGTCATTTTTTTGTGTTGAGCTTCTCCTTGGCTGCTGCTACAAGTGACTGTTGTGTCTTTTGCTTCATGTTTCAAAAAAGAAATGAAAGTAGACCTCTGAATTTGGACTTTATGCATTTCTTTTCCTTTCTGATTAAGGAACTCTAATAATGAAGGGACTTCTTTCCCCATTATATTTCAGGAAAACCAGTGCAGCCAGTTAAGCGAGAGCTTCTCCGGCATAGGGACTACAAGGTGGACCTGGAATCCAAACTCGGGAAGACAATTGTCATTACCAAGACCACCCCACAGTCTGAGATGGGAGGGTGAGTGGCTTTTCTTCTTTCTCTGCAGCCAGGAAGTGTTAAACAGCCAGGAAGTGTTATGCAGGATACCTGCCCCCAGAATAACAACCTTGTTTCCTGTAATTCCATCCATTTTTCTCCAGGGTCTCTAGTTAACATTTGTGTAAGAGGGGGTTACTCTGTAGGCTTCTTCATATTAGCACTGTAACTACTTCTTAATATCTTAAAAGGGATTATTTGTTCTCCTGCTAAAGGAAGAAATGAAGGAAAGGACTACTGAGGAGATTTCTAGGGGAGAAATTAGGTGCAGCTAGAATAGAGCCCAGACTGTCGACGGTGAATAAAGGGAGTTGAGGCTCAAGACTGGCTACAGAAGTTGTAGTTGTTATGGTTTTCCTGGTTGTGCACCTTCCTCCTAGACCCTTACCTTTAGGAAGAAAGGTCTCACAAGAACTCTTCATCTTTTTGCCTAACAGTACTACTCTGTCTAGGTGCGTTTTCCAGCAGGAGCATAACACAGATAACAACAAGTGACACTTCTCTGAGCTGCTTCTCTGAGTAAACTCACTGTTACCTTTCCTCTTTGTGTTAGTTATCTATTGCTATTTGTGTTAATATATTAACCCAGTATTTAGCAGCATAAAACAAAGAATAGCTCACAATATCTCACATGGGTAAGTAATATGGGAAAGGCTTATCTAGGTGGTTCTAGCTCAGGGTCTCTCACAAAGCTGCCATCAGGATGTCTGCTGGGTCTGCATTCATCCGAGGTTTAAGTAGGGCTGGAGGATCTTTGTGCAAACTCTGTCACTTGACTGTGATTTGGAGGCCTCAGTTCTATGCTCTATGGGCCACTCCATAGTGCTACTCACAACAAAGCAAGTGGCTTCCCCAGGGCAGGTGATCTACATGAACAGACTAAGCAGAATGCATGTTTTTTTAGAAAACCTAATCTTGGAAGTGACATAACATCACTTTTGATATAGTCTATTGATCACACAGAGTAACCCTGGTACAAATTGGGAATGGCCTATATAGGGTAGGAATATAGGTGGCATCATTGCGGGGGCCATCTTGGAGGTTGCAAGCCACACTCTTCCAAGAGCAAAGGCTTTGTGGAAATGAGAAGTATCTCCTCTAAAAAGAATTTTTACCTAAACATTACGAGTTTCTTGGCTGAAAACAATAAAATCTTTATAACCAGATTTGAAACTAGTGCTGTTTCTTTCTGTTTTCTAGATACTACTGCAATGTCTGTGACTGTGTGGTGAAAGACTCTATTAACTTCCTGGATCACATTAATGGAAAGAAACGTAAGGCTTGGAGGTAGTTTGTGATTGAGGCTGAGATTGAATTTTGGTGATGGGGTAAGGGAGAGGATAGTTTCTATTGAGCTTCTTTTTTATGTCTGGGGCATTCTCTAGTTCCTTCAGCACAGGCCATTGTTTACTTCATTATTTCGTGTTCCTGGAGTCCATGAGGTGAGAATCTGTTCTAGGCTCTCAACAAGTCCAAACCATGGTTTTCTCCTGGGCCTAACTGTTCCTATTGGTGTGCATTTGCTCAGTAAGAGTAGTTGAAAGCTGCTTTATCTTGTTATTGGGGGCTGCTGCCAAGAAGTTTTTTATTTAGTCCTAATATTTTTTACTGCATGTTTTATGAGTTTTTGGTTTTGTTTTTAATGTCAGGAAAAGACTTTTTGAGGGACTTAGGAAGTTTTAAGAACCTTACCTTTTTTCCTATTGACCCTACTCAGATCAGCGAAACCTGGGCATGTCTATGCGTGTGGAACGTTCCACCTTGGATCAAGTGAAGAAACGTTTTGAAGTCAACAAGAAGAAGATGGAAGAGAAGCAGAAGGATTATGATTTTGAGGAAAGGATGAAGGAACTCAGAGAAGAGGTGGGCTCTACTATCCTTCTGTCCCTTCTCCTTCAGCTTTAAATTTCATGTTATGAATCATGGGGAGGCTCTTTTCCTCATTCCACTCCCACTCCCAAAGGAGAATTTTGTCTCCTGAACTCCTGTACATTAAGGGAAACATTTGTTACCCTTGTTTGGAACTCTCATAATCTGAAGGAAATGGCTCTAAACCTGTCCTTTTTTTCTAAACTTTTTGGGCCATACTTTTCTTTTTCTGTTTACTACCTGAGTTATTAACTAAGTGCACCTAGTCCCCATTAGGCCTGTGGAACCAGGCTGACGGGGTCAGAATTCTGTTTCCTCCATTTACTGGCTGTGAATCTTGGACAAGCTATATAACCTCTCTGTGCCTCTGTTTCCTCATAGAGATCTTAGTATGTAATATACATGAAGCACTTAGACCATCTCCTGGCATATACTGTATGCCCTGTGGCTTTTATTCCATCACCTTGTTGTGAGCTAGAGATGAACTGGGATGTAGGATTGAGAAATGCTTTCCACAGGCTGAGACTTCTCTTTCCTGTCCCTTACAA